GGGAAGGGAGCAAAAGGGAGGGAGGGAGGAAAGGAAAGAAGATGGGAAAGAAGGGAGGGAAGGAAGGAAGGAGGAAGAAGGAAGAAATGGAAGGAAGGAAAGAAAGAAGGGAAAAATGGAAGGAGGAAGGGAAGAGGAAGAAATGGAAGGAAAGAAGTGGAAGAAGAAAGGAAGGAAAGAAGTGAAGAAGAGAAGGGAGGAAAGAGGGAGAAAGACATGGAAGGAAAGAAGGGGAAGAAGGAACGAAGGGACTCTGAAGAGCTGTAGAAGCTTCCTGGATGAGAAGTGAAACATTTTCAAGCGAAAAAAGATCCCAAGGAAGTCCATTTGCCTCAGGAGTGGCCCCCAAGAGGAGAGCTGACCCTGAGCCTTGAAGGGCGGGGTGGGGGGGATTCCTAGCCCCTCTGACCGTCCCTTTTCCACGGGGGTCTCTCTCTCTTTCTCTCTGCAGCTGGAAGAGTCGGAGTTCACCTGCTCGGCCGCCGTCAAAGCCCGCAAATCCATGGAAGTGGAGATCGAGGATTTGCATCTCCAGATTGAGGACTTCTCCAAAGCCAAAGGAGCGGTAGGCAAACGCCCCCCCCCCCTCGCCCCCGACCCCCCCCCCCCCCCCCCCGTGGAATCGAGACCCTTACTAGACAGTCCATTCCAGAGGTGGTATTCAGCCAGTTCGGACCGGTTCTGGCGTACCGGTTGTGGAAATTTTGACCAGTTCAGAGAACCGGCAAATACCACCTCTGATTAGCCCTGCCCCCGCCATTACCTGTCCTATATTTCCTTGTGTTTTTTTACCTCAGCTGATTGCCGCGCCTCAGCTGAGCTAAAAAAAAACTGTTCAGGCAATTCACCGGCGTTGACAGAAAGTCTGTATGTGAGCCCTGTGTGCGCGAGTGAAGCTCAGCTGATTCGTGTGATTGCCGCGCCTCAGCTGAGCTAAAAAAACAGTTCAGGCAATTCACCGGCGTTGACAGAGGTCTGTATTTGAGCCCTATGCGCCGCGAGTGAAGCTCAGCTGATTCGCAAAATTGCCGTGCCTCAGCTGAGCTAAAAAACAGTTCAGGCAATTCACTGGCGTTGACAGAAAGTCTGTATGTGAGCCCTGTGTGAGCGAGTGAAGCTCAGCTGATTCGTGCGATTGCCGCGCCTCAGCTGAGCTAAAAA